CTCAATGCTGGCTATGCTTTGGAACTGCTGAAGACTTTAAAAAAATACCAGTGCTGAAGCCTAACCCCAGACCAATTAAATAGGATTCTCTGGGGTGGAGCCTGAGTAAAGACTTAAAAAAAAAAAAAAAAACTCCTCAGGTGACGTGCACCAGGGCTGAGAACCAGTGCTATCAGACAGTGTACAATGGAATAGAAGCAAGTTTACAGCCTTGCCTCAATTTCATTATATTCATTAATAACAGCCAGATTTGCAAATTGCACTTGAGTAATCAATGTCTCAACTTGAAATTCTGACCAATAATTTCAGCCCTAGATGTAGAAATTTACCAAATGGTACCTAGCAGTTTCGTGAAATGATAAAATTTCTATTTATTCCCAAAGAATAGATTATGTACTGGGACATTCTCTTCATTACCCATATTTTCAAAAGCTAAATATTCCATTCACTTTAACAGTAAATTCACAGTCTAAAAGTTAATCTAATCTAACTAATACTAAAACCTACTGAGGATGCATAACGATATTCTGAGAGCACAGTTGGAGAACATGTTTTCTTCAATTATTAAATAAAGGAAAGTGAGACTTCCCTGGTGGCGCAGTGGTTAAGAATCTGCCTGCCAATGCAGGGGACACCGGTTCGAGCCCTGGTCCGGGAAGATCTCACATTCCATGGAGCAACTAAGCCCGTGTGCCACAACTACTGAGCCTGCGCTCTAGACCCCGCGAGCCACAGCTACTGAGTCCGCACGCACCACAACTACTGAAGCCCGCGCGCCTGGAGCCTGTGCTCCGCAACAAGAGAAGCGACCGCAGTGAGAAGCCCGCGCACCGCAACGAAGAGAAGCCCCCACTCGCCGCAACTAGAGAAAGCCCGTGTGCAGCAAGGAAGACCCAAGGCTGCCAAAAAATAAATAAAGCTATTAAATCTGGTCAAAAGTATGGATCTTTTTAAAAGTAAAATAAAATAAAGGAAAGCTAACTCAGTGTTTCTGGTGAGAACTCTAAATTATATAGTCTCTGAATATATACATATATTAATGTAGATTAAGCTGCTGTAATGTGGAAATTCCAAAATACGGTGGATTAAACAATATTGAAGTTTATTTCTCTCTCATGAAACAACGAGGAGGAGGGTACCTTTTGGTAAAGGAAACTATTTCTAAAGTTGCCAATTTCTAGCCAATGGGGACAGAGGAGAGGAAAGGAAAGAGGCCAAGCGCATCACTTCTGCTCGCATGCTGTTGGCCAGAACTTAGCCACATGTGCGTGCCCAGCTGCAGGGAAGTTTGGGAAATGGAGGCTCCATCTCGGCAGCCACGTGCTCAACTGAAAACCAAAGACTTTTATTACTAATACAAAGAAGAGGGACATGGATGTTGGGGGTACATCTCAATTTCTACACCATCTACATCCAGTCCAGAATCTAAATATACCTGGGATGCAAAGGAACTATATGGTTTAAAAGTTTACTTTGAGAAAATTTATTTTCATTATGTGTCCTATACCAACATTTAAGAAGTTTAGAATTTGTATTCATTTGATCAGAAAGATAGTTTATGATATACTATCTTCCTTTATACGAGCTTTAGCTATGATATGCAAGGGATGCACAGCACGGGATGCATGTAATACGAATCATGCTAATCCCCTCAACACGAGTCCTCAGCACTGACCTGGGCTCTTCCAGAACACAGTAGTTCCACAGAACAATGTTCAGACAGATCTTATATGACTGTCAGTGCTATTTCTTTTATTTAATTGAATAGATTCTGGCAGCCTAGTCATGGACTCCTTTGAGAATCTGATGAAAATCGTGGATCCTCTGCTCAAATATATCAACGATTTAGCAACTAATTTTAGGGGCGTTAGAAACACCTTCCCGCATGAAGCCCAGTTTCAGAGTGTCTTGATTCTGTCTTCCACAGAAGCCTGGGAAAGTATAGATGAAATCACTCATCCCTCTCTCTGGGACCCACCAATGGAATTCCTGGAGCTCTGGCCCAAGGCGGACACCTAGCACAGGACCTGGGGCATAGTGATGCTCTATGATGTTCGTTCCCTCGTATTTCAAAGCTCCTTTGCTCCCTGTAAGAATTCCTTGGTGTGCTGGCATAGGTGAAAGTAAACAAATAAAATTATTGTTAATTAAAAAAAAAAAAGAATTCCTTGGTGGTCCACGCATTCCCCTTGGTATTAGTGTTACTTTGCCCATCTTCAGCAACATGAATCACAACCAGAGCCTTGGTGGTTGACTTGGTCATTCTCATGACATTAATGCCGCTCCTCCTTTTGGCACGGACACGGACCTTCTCTCCATCAGCGGGATGTTTTTCAATCTTTTTGCTCACGCGGCATCTGAAGCACCTTCTTACATATATTACCTCCTTATACGTTTGGATGAGAGACAAAATTCACCTTGTGATATTGAAACTGAAAATGCAAGATACTTTCTCTCCAGGGCCCCCTGTAACTATTGCATGGGCACTTAGTATAGGCTCTGACAGGTTTATGCATCTGCCACAAACTTGGAATGGAAAGCTAGTGATATAACCCAGCAGGGTCCGTGGAGAAGGGTCTCTGGCAGCAGTGACAGCTGGGATCAGCAGGACCGGGGTTATTGTAATAGTACCAGTGTTACCGGCAGCCTCCGGAGTCATTACCAGCAGGGTCAGCAGTACAAGCCACAGTGTCTAATGCTTTGTAGTAGAATCAGTGGCTTCCAGGCTGAATGAGTTCTGCATATGAAGCCATGTTTCCTAAAGACTTCAGTATAAGCTTCCTTTTTTGGACAAAATATTGCTAGCTTCTCCAGCATCACTATGATATTTCCTTGTACAAAATCTTCAGTAGTAATCTTCACTGTGACATAGATCTACATGGGAAACTTTGTGCGAAATAAGAATGCATTTCTCCACTGAAAGGGACAGGTCTAGGAAAATAAGCCATCGGAAAATGACTGAGAGGCTCTTGGGTTCTTTCCATGCTGAGAACAAGCAGAGAATATAGCATTTCCTTTACTTATATTTCAAGCAGATAAGGCCATAATCGTATACTCATGAATCTTACTCCACTGCTTGAAACTTTCAGTGGTTCATCATCAAACTGTAATGGAAGCAGGCTCTGTCCTTTCTTGGATTTTAAACTAGAATAATTAACTTAGCTTTTCTGGGCCTCATTTGCTCTTCTTTATTTTTTATATATTTTTTAAGGGGTAGAGAGTTTGTAATATCCATGAAAGATGTTTGTGATATGTATGATATATAATACATGAAAACCTGGTGCCAGAAAGGCACTCTGTAAAAATGAAGTTTATTCTCCTCAATTTGGCATTCAGAGTCCTTCACTTTAGATCGCGATCTGCCTTTCCAGTCTCTTCTCTTATCACTTCCCTTCCCTCTTCCTCTCTTCCAAATGCTTTGGTGACACCAGATTTTGAACATCATACCTTAATGTGCCACAAACAATTCCATACATCTACTCCTCTGTTCCCTCTGCCTGGAATGTGCTTCTCCCCTGTTTTCTTTTTCACTCTCCAAGGTCCACCTATGTCGTCCAGTACTTCCTCCACTTAGCTGTTAAGTTAGCCAGTGTTCCGAAGTTATATGACCTAAGTTCATGAGTTTGATTTCATTAGGATTTTTGGTGGCAAGGAGAAAAGATGTCAGAAAGGTGGGTGTATTGTAAGGATACAGGTGGCAATTAAGAGGAAAGAATGTCACAGGCATCCAAGAAGGCCTGATAGGCAATAGGAGAGTCAGGATCCAAGCATGAGAGCAAGAGGGTTACGATCTCCTGCCCCCAGCATCAGGAGTTCAATCATTTTCAGTTTTGTGCTCCACCATTAATGGACTTAAGCTTTCTCCTTATTCCTGCTTCTCTGTATTTTCCCGTCTGTTTTTGTTCAGATCACTTTCTGACATCTCTCTCCCTAAATATCCAAATTTACAGAGAGGGAAAATCAGATGAGACCCTGAGCCACCATCATTGTTCAGGCAGAGCCTTTGCGACACGCCCCCTCTGAGGCTGCTGGCCGACTTCCCTTGGGTTGGGCGCTCATCCCACACCATCACCTGTGGTGAGGCGGGCCATTGGAGTGGCTAGAACCTGGTCACCTATGTCTCAAGCAACCAGGAGGTCTGTGCAAGGGCAGTTCTCCTCTGAAGACGCTGTAGGTTGGTAGGAATCTGTAGGTTAATAAAGCCAGGTAAGTAATCCAGAGAGTCAGAGAACCCAAATGTAGGTGTGCAGATGGGCTACTTCAGAATCTCCTGGGATCCTTTTTAAAATACAGAACTTGGGGTTCACTCCAGATCTACTGAATTAAAATCTGAAGGGAGAGGCTTAGAGAACTATATGTATTTTATCTCCGCAAGAGACCATAGCTTTGACATTATGAGGGAACAGAGCTATGTGAAGGATAGGAAGGGTCAGACTGAAGGTTAGGAAGTTTTCTTGATTCTCTGAATGAATTTGTAGGGGGATTTTGATTTGCTCTAGTGGCAGTTTGTGTGAAAACACATTTGAAAAGTGGAAGTGCTGAGGTGAGGTAGTTTCCTTCAAAGAAATACACTGTGAGGAATGTGTATCTCTGTAGTTTCCAGAGTTTACACTTATGACTGTCAGAGAGACCAGGAAGAACTAATGTTAAACCCAAACACCGTGAACTTTCCACATGGCCTTATACAAAAGCTGAGAGTTTGCTTCCTTTTTTTAACCTTATCTATAACAGGTATATTTAGTGAAATACCATAAGCAACACGCAAAGTAACTTTATCAAAATGCTGCCTGAAGTATACATAAAATTAAATTTTCAGGAAATAATTTAAGAAAATCTTTTGTTTTAATGGGAGACAGCTAACAGACTATTTTGCAGTGCGTTAAAGGAAGAGTTGTTTCATATAAATATATCCTAAAAATTGACATCACTATAAAAAATAAGCACATACTTCTTCTGGATATTATTATCTTTATTACAAAACAAATATTTTATGTTGAGGTAACATTTGAAAGGGTATTTGGCAAAAATCAGTTGAATTCTATACACACAATTTTGCTACGTGCGACACAGGCAAAGGACTCTGAGAACAGTTTTTCTAACATTGCACATAGACTGGTCTTAGAAAAAAGTAAGCTGAAAGTTGTCTATTTAAAGAGGAATTTTCTTTTTCCACTCTCCCCAAACCATTCCTCCATATCATCACCAGTGGGCAGGGAGGTGATGCTCACTGGAGTACCACAAAAAACATTGAAAAGGATAAATTAATGGAAAAAGTTTTGCTTATCCAAAACACCTCACCATGCCATAATTTGAAAGTGCTTTCACAAACTAAATATTTATTCATACAGGATTTTCTATTGCCTGTACCAAGAATAAATAGAACTGTCTTTTCTTAAATGGAGAAATCCTATGCAATGCTCCAAGTCCAGTGTCTTTTCTGCTGTGAAGCCTTCTCTGATTCTCTAAGGCAAAGTTGGTCCCCGCTCTGTGCTCCCATGTGTTCTGTGCACACCTGTGTTATAGGACTCACCTCATTGGATAGTAGTAATTCTTGCTTCTGTCATACGTATCCCTCTTTCACTTTATTTATCCCTCCATAAGCTCCTCAGGAGCAAGAAATAAGTCTTAACTTCTTTATATCCCCAGCACCTGGCACAGTGCCTGGTACCTAACAGAATCTCAGTAACTGTGTGTTAGGTTAATGAGTTAGGAACTATTTCAGCTGTGAAGCTATAATGCACATCTTTCCTTGCATCAGGTCTCATTGAGGGTATTCTAGTGAAATACCCCATTATTGAAACCTCTATGGTTTGGTGACATCCTAGAAAGAAGTATAATGTCCAGTATTTCCTTTCATAAAGGAATGGTCTCTGGTTATTCTTCTGATACAAACGTCAATAAATTACAGTTCTCATGATTTCCCTAGTCTCCAACCCCCAAGACACGTGTCTGTGAGAGGCACTCAGGAACGCCCGTGCTAGTAGCCGTCTTGGCAGTCATTGTCGTCCTGATCTCCGATGGGTTTGTTGTGATAAGCATCGACTGTCAACCTTCTGCTTTCTATCTCGGTGTTTCTGGACTGGATGTCTTCCTCGCTGCTTGATGTGCTCTCAGTTGAGTCGCTCTCTTCTTTTGATCTGCTGCTGTCCTGAGAATCGCTGCTCTGCTCCTCCTCAGACGGGCTGTCCTCCTGGCTTTCCCGGCTCTGGCTCTCTGACGAGGCGCTGGGAGACCAGGGCTCCTCCTGGCTGGAGCTGTTCTCCTCTTCGGTGGACTCCGGGCTTTCCTCCGAGGATCTGAGGCTCTCACTGGATTCGCTGTCGGTTTGCCCCTCTGTGGATCTGCTCTCTGAACTGGAGGGTTTATCCGAGCTGTCCTCATCACTGGAGTCACTGGAGTCCTGATCTTCTGAGTGACTGGTAACGTTATTGGGGTTGTCACCCCTGGACTCGCGCACGACCTCTTCCTGAGATTCACTACTGCTTTCTTGAGAAGGCAGGTCACCCTCTTCACTGGACTCGCTGCTGGGGTCTTGGACGCTCTGACTGTCTTCTGGGGACTGACCCTCCTCGCTCTCTTGTTGAGATTCACTCTCGCTGTGTTCCCTGGATGGGCTGAGACCAGCTTCTTTGGAGTCGGGGTATTCTGGGGAGTCACTCTTGCTTTCTTCCATGGTGTTGCTATCATGAAGCTCACCTCTGCCATCTTCCTCCGAGATGCGAGACGTTCTGAAAAATTTCCTACTGGGATACCCCACTGCCGGGCTTTCACCGGAACCCTGAGTCCTTGCTTGCCCATGGCTCCCTTGCGAATCTTTTGACCTGATGCTGGCCCTGCTTATTCTGGAATTGCTTCTCTCGCTCCTGAAGGTGTTGGGGTCTTCGCTCTGCATTCCTTCATCATCAAACTCAGAGCCGTCCCCGTGGCTACCGACTCCCTCACTGTCGCCTCCCACCCACTGCTCTGCACTCTCGCTGTCTGGAGTGGAGTCACGTCCCTCAGGCCTGCTGCGCCCCTCGTCCTCACTGGCAAAGTCCCTGCTCTCACTGGTGGTGTCTTGAGCACTGTCTTCCCCCCGTGGGACACCATCCTCCGTGGACTGTGTGCTGTCAGTGGGGTCCTCACCGCTTCCGAGTCTGGAGTTCCCTCCTCGCCTCTCTTCGGGTCCTGGGCCATTGTCATCATCAGCTGAGGTGTCATCTCCGCTCTCGTCTTCATCATCATCTTTATCATCTCCTTCTTTTCCTCCGCTCCTAGAAAGGCCACCAGCTGGTCTATGAATGGATTGCGGATCATCAAGGCCCAGGCCCTCCTCTGATTCAGTGCTGTCACCGGGGTCTTCATTTACCTGGAGTTTGGGGTTAACAGACATGGTTAGGACCCCAGGAGCTGCTCTCAAGGGTGTTATTTAAGGCCCATCTAGGCTCTGTTTGCTTTCTTCTTCCTATGTCCCTCATCAGAGCCATTGAGCCAATTTTACGGCTCAATAATGTTTCAGCCAGGGGTTAAAAAGGAAGGAAGAACAGTTGAAAGTCAAGTCGTTCCATTTTACATAGGCACAGTTCACTTAATGCTGCAAACATTTTCTCAAAAAGTTTTATAGAAATCACATTTATGGAACTCAATATTTAAGTGTGAGTCCTTAAAGGATACTTTCAGAGAATTTTTTGTAAATTAAAGAATTGGTTGGGCTTCCCTGGTGGCGCAGTGGTGGAGAGTCCGCCTGCCGATGCAGGGGACA